CAAACATCATACATATACAATGTATTTAAAAACATAGATTCAATGACAACGAATGAGAAATTAGTTTCAATTCACCTAATCCTTATGCAATTTCTACAACCATCATAGCTATCCTCCACCAATGGTCCAAAACAAATATTTCTAAACAGCTATACAATGTCCAAGACAGATAAACCATTTGAATTCCCATACGTGAGTGATAATACATATCCAACTCCACCATTTATATAAACATCCATCCAATTTCACATTTCCAATACCAATTCCATTTATTTATACAAAATAAATGTTTGAGACATTTTAGAGCAAATTCTTTTTCGTTCCAAAATCTAATCCAAGTATCAAAATCAACAATTCTATTATAACAAAACTTCATATTCACTCTCATAACCATTTTCAATACACTCATATGTAAACTCCTCTTTTGATTTTAAACCCAAACCTAGGTTTGTTCAAAATCTTTCAAAATTACAATTTTGTTTATATACAACAAACGGCTAGGTTAAAAACCATTGAAGAGTGTAGAAAATCCCTACCTCAAAGGTAGAAGACGAGCAAAGCAAGGAAGAAACACGGATGAAGCCGAAACCCAACTTTATTCAAATGAAAATGTAGCCTTTGGGATGCTCTACCTTTTTAACAAAGGCACGAGGGTAGAGAAACCACTAAATCTAGGTGAAAATGTAGAGAGAGAAGCTCTAGATCTAGAGTTTTGGAATGTTTTAGAGAGAGAGAGGTGAAAAAGTGGCTTTTACAAACTGAAATACACACAGTCCGCTCGAGTGTAAGAAATGACGCTTGAGCGTCAGACACAACAAGTTGTTCCGCTCGAGCTCAAAAAGTGACACTCGAGTGCCAAGACAGAATGAAAAAGGGCGTCACTGCTCGAGCGCAATAAGTGATGCTCGAGTGTAGAATATACACTTCTAGTAGTTTTAAAAATAGCAAACCAACACTCGAGGGCAAGAAAGACCACTCTAGCTGAGACTCGCTCGAGCGTAGAAAATAATGCTTGAGCGTAGAATACACTCTTCCAGTAATTTTGCAGACCTGCAAAGTACTGAGAGTTCACAAGTCCCGCTCGAGCGCAAGAAGTGTCGCTCGAGCAAGGAGTAAAATTATGGACAACAAAAGTTTGCAAACCAAGCTACCAACCTGTTCCAAACGCAACGAATACAACCCAATAGCCAAAGTCAAGGAGGTATAAAGGAAATATGATATGAACAACGATACGAAACCATGAAACCCGAGTCCAGAATTCAAAATGGATCAGGTCTAAACTAGAATCATTGCAATCTCCCCCCTTAAAGAATTTCATTCCTGAAATTATAAATCAAACTTTAAAACCATGTTTAAACCAATTACAACATTGATAATCAATCAATTTCAACACCATGACCCATCCACCGGTCATTCATTTACATCGACATGATAAACAAGCTCTCAATACTGAATATACAATTCTCATTTCCAAAACATATACAATGTTTATAGTAAATCAACATAACAAAAGTTTCAATACATGCTCAAACATTAACAAATAGGTCCGGATATTTCTCACGGACTTCCAACTCCTACTGATGAATAAAGTGTAGTACTGTTTGGAAAACAAGGTCAAATTCAAACATGCCTCTCAAACAAATCCACAACTTTGACAATTGGTCAAGTAGAACCCAAATTTTAATACATAAAGAGAAAAGTTATATCAGCTCCAAAAGTGATCCCAGTTTGTTTGCACTTCCAATCTATTTGATTGTTACAGGGAAAAAGAAATAATATATATATATTAATAAATAATTTTTAAAAAAAATGGTTATGGCATTGAAAATTGCAAGTGGAAGTTGCAGTCATTGTGCATTGGTAACTAATTTGGATTCTTTTCAGCGTATAGCAACATTTCTTCTGCACATTCAATTAGACATGACATCAAATATGTGAAAAAAGAGCTTAAATAAATTAACTGTGTTGAGAACATACAGCCTAAAACTTTGTAAAAACCCCAAAAGAAAAACAAAAAAACACTCCAAGAGACAATCTCACAAGTAACATTGAGAAGATATGTAGATTAAGGTGCATGTGTATTGCTTGGTCCGTTTTGGTTTTTTTGTTGGTGAAATTTTTCCTCAGCATAAGAAGATTTTGATGGATTTGGTTGGGAAAATTTTCATTTGAAGTGAGAGTTTTGAATTGGTTTGGAATGTTTGTGGTTTGGATTATTGAATTCAAGATAGTTGGGTAGGGAGGGGCTGGCTTACTGGTTGGCAGGGTTTGGGCTGGGGTGTTATAAATTGGATTCATGATTTTCAATATTTCAGTTTTCAAATAGGAAGTGCATTGCCACTATCATGGCTTTTTCTATTTTTAATACACAGTGGCGGAGTCAAGAAACTAAATCAGGAGGGGTACTTATTAATTACAACTTTTTTTTTTTTTTCATAACCAACAATAAGAAGATAATAATAATTTTTGAATTAATATTAAGTACAAAAATTAAATAAATTGTTACAAAAGTATTTCACATAAAATTTTACAATTAATTTTGAGTAAAATTGAAAAGAAAGTATTGCGTGTAACTAGTGTATCATGGACAATGTAAAAAAGTCATATAGTTAAGTCGTAAAATGAATTAATTATATAATGGTAAGATAAATAAATTGTTAACAAAATTTCAGTAAAAATTTCATATAATAGTGATATCACGTCATTATTGACATATAGTATCACTAACCAATAGTAAAGCAACATATGAAAGGTAAACTCCACATGCAAATATAACTAACACTCTAATAATTTTTACATATATATAGTGAGATTAATTATATTTACATATTAATAATGATGGATATTATCTTTATATTGAGACTTTTTCATAAATTTTTCATACATAAAAATATAATTCGTTGTAGTCACTTCATTTTTAATAAAACAACCACTATTAGTTTTATAAATTTAAAAATGTCCTTGACATTTTATTCCAAATATTATTTTTGTTTAAAATTTTATTTACATACATATGTAAAAAAAAATTAAAAATAAAAATTTGAAGGAACGTTTAATTTTTTTATTTTATTTTAAAAAGAAGGTATAGTTAAATTCTAAAATAGATTTTATTTATTCGCTTCCAACAAACGCTTCCTTACACCATTTTCCAACTACGAGCCTTGGAAGTCTGTGCTAGAGGGAATCATCACCATTGATTTTTGTGGTATGATAGTCATGCTTGCTTCTCTTTACTTGACACATTGCCATTAATTTGGTAGTGGAGCCATTCATTCACAATATTACTTGAATTAGTATTAGTGTATCAGCGATTATGTTCTCTCAACACTAAGGATGTCATCTCACTTATTTATTATTCAAGTTAGTATTGAAACTTTAGCACCAAACACAATTTATGAAATTATCCTATGAGCAGAGAAATTGATGTTCTTTTTGAAGCATCGAAGAAAAAAGTCGTTGGATCTGGATATGAGGAAAGCTCTGTGTTTGCATGTTGGTCGTTTATTGCAATAGTTACAGTATTCAATTGTATCCTATGTTGAATTAGTATGTGACATAAAACACAATGTTCCTTAGTTGCATGAGACGTATAAACACAATATAGTCATTAAATTTAAAGATATGGACATTGCTTCTCTTTGTTTTCTGATAATAGTTGGCTTCCTTGAGGTAGAGTTTGTTTTGTAATTAGTGGTGGTGGTACAAAACTAGAACAAATAAAAGTAAACCTTGCAGCAATTTTGTGTTGCCATTAGTATTACATTGTATTTTTTCCAAATGTAACATGACCCCACGCGCGTAGCACGTAGGGGTCCAACTAGTAGAAAGAAAATGATGATTGGAAGTGAAATGATAGAAATTTAAGTGAAAGAAAAAGAAAAAGAAATGAATTATTTTCTTGCATGCATTTGATTAGAATGAAAATTTTGCAAGAAACTGATTGCAAAATTTTAGTTTCTTAATTTGAAAAGCATGAAAGTTGCTGAAAATTCTTATATTTTAGTTGATTAAAAAAAAAAAAGAAAAAAAAGAAGAAGAATTTCCGTGCATATTTTGGGGGAAACCAAATATAAGTTTAAAAGCTTAAGAGGTTTGTACAGGCAATTTCACTCTCCAACACGTTCTAGGATTCTATTTCTAAACAAACGACAAAAAGATTAAGTATTTCTAAACAGGCAATTTCACTCTCCAACACTTTCTCTTGCTTGCATTGAAAACTCTCTATGTTTGTTTGTTTGCATCCCCATGTGCAAGAAAGATGAGGTTGCATGTGAGGAAGGCTGTTGAATAGCTTGATATACATTGTTAGATCCATTTCCTAATAGTTTCAAGTTTTGGGGACAATTGGTAACCTAGCACTTCCAATACAAGAGTGGCCTTCAAGGTAGAATCGGAGACGCAGCAAGTTCCATGCAGTCCACTACTGGACTTGCCATTTTATGTTGTGTGTGTGTCAACATGTAAATCGAAGACGACAAACCTGGCCAGTGGAATGGTGAAGGCCAGGAGGAGGACGCATGTAAACCTCCTCAGTGAGATGGCCATTAAGAAAAGAATTCTTAACATTCATCTGATAAAGAGGCCAAGAACGAATAGCAGCAACAAAGATCAAAGTACAAACAGTAGTCATCTTGGCAACAGGATCAAATGTCTCCTCATAATCAATACCATACTCTTGAGAGAAACCTTTGGTAACCAGACGAGCTTTGTAGTGCTCAAGAGACCCATCAGAATGAGTCTTGACTTTGTAGACTCATTTGCAACTAACCAAGTTCTTACCATCAGGCAAAGGAACCTGTTAAACAGGAAAGCAACCCGAGAGGGGAGGGGGGGTGAATTGGGTTATTAAAAAATTTGGTCCAAAAATAAGGTTCAAAGGATCTTATGTAATTAAATGCAGCAGATAATTAATAGATTAACAAAAAATAAAAATAATAGGAAAGAAGAACTTAACACAGAGATTTATAGTGGTTCGGCTCACCGGCCTACGTCCACTCCTCAAGAATCCTCCTTGAGAATTTCTTTACTATGAATCGATGCACCACCAAGTTCTTCCAACTTGAGGTTTTTTTTACAAAAGGACTTACTTCAATCTGTTGAGGAACTCAGCTAACAAAATGCCTCACTTTATAGATGTTTCACTCAGAAACTAAGAAACTAGAAGAAGAGGTTCAACTGTCCTCTTTGACTATTACAATCTCTTAAAAGATGGATTATGAAAGTGTAACCTCACAAGTTTGTTTTCGGACTAACTTAAATCTAAAAATGGGAGAGCACAAGTGAAATCTCAGAGATTGAAAAAGATGCTCGGTATACTTAGGGTAGTTGCAGTCGTATCTCTCTTGTTTTTTCGAATCTGGAAAAGATCCAGATTTATAGCTTCCATCCGACTCATCTCTTGAAGTAAAAACACACCCACGTGGGTATACTATCCGTTGGAGCCGGGCAAGGAAAAAGTTTCCAGCTGTTGTGAGTGGAGAATGTTTGGTACAGGCTATTTTCTGACCATTGGAGATGGAGCTTCCTCAAAGGAAGTGATGCCCATGCTTGGAATACAAAACTATGGTGGATGGATATGATGTTGTCTCCATGCTTTTTCTTTTTCAGACTTTGGGAGTGGTGTGAGTGGAGAATGTTTCCTCCATTAAGTCAGAGATTATTGTCCCAAAGTTCCTTTTGATTAGAATAACATTTGTCCAATGATGATGTCACAGAGACCCTCTTTGAGTTGGAAGATGGCGACTAGGTTTTTTGCAACCCAAACATAAAGGTGTCGACCCCTACAGATTGGGTGTCGACCCTTTTCTCTGTCTTTTCTTTCCTGAGTTGATTTACAGGTGTTCCTGGTGTTGACCCTTATCTCATTTGGTGTCGACCCTTGCGGCTGAAGTGTATACTACTTTTTGGTGTCGACCCTTGCAGCTAAAGTGTATATTGCTTTTTGGTGTCGACCCTTGCTGCTGTTGGTGTCGATCTTTGCATCTGGAACACTTAGTTATTTTTCCAGCTTTCCCTGGTGTCGACCCTCTATTCTGGAACACTTAACATTTTTGATAATTATTCTAGTGTCTTTCCTTGGACCTGTGATAGACAAAGATAGATTTTTGCAACCAAGAGCTAATGCTTATTTTTTGATATCCCAAAAAGTTATTGAAACATAATATTCTAGAGTCTCAAAACAATTAGAATCATGAAGCACAAATATTAATTTGAAAACTTCAAATAATCAGAAGAATAAAATATTCGTCATTAATCAAAATCAATAGAAATTCAAGTTTGAGTAACCTTGAGGCTAACAATCTCCCCTTTTTTTATGATGACAAACATTTAAAGTTTTCAAACTATACGTTTCAAAGGTGTTTTTGAGAAAGAAGGTTTTGAAAAGAATCGAAAACTCCCCCCATCAATAGGGCTTCATGACCGAAGCAAAGTGAGCGAGACATGTATATATATAGATAATAAGATAACTTGTATAGAGTAAGCTCCCCTTGTCAGTGTGTTTGTTTGTATTTAATGAAACCACAAGCATTGAATGAAATCACAAGCTCTTCATAAGTTCCCACGAGCGTGTGTATGAAATAAATTATTACTTCCTTATCGACATGTTTCATGTTAATAAGATTCATATAGCTTTGTAGAATAACCAAAACAACACCAAACATAATCTTTCCAACTGGTGTTACCAAAAGAGGTTTGTAATCAAGACATGTACAACCATCTATTTCATCTAGTTGCTACCTTGGGAGAAATACAAACTGTGCAACATATATATATAGCCAACCAACAACAAAAAAGGTGAAGTAATAATCTGAATGACACCAAAAATATTGACAAAAAGTTTTAACCATTTGAGATATTCTTCTCCTCCTTTGTCATCAACAAAAAGAGGTGTGCAACTTCAACGAAAGGGAGGAGGAGGGCAAGGCCAATGTGGGGCAGCTTCGTGCCAACCTTGGGCAAACCACAGCATGAATTTGCGGATTTGCTCACCCAAATCGGCGTTCTAGCGTTGCTAAAAAATTTGCCGAAATTCTTCGTTGGAGGCTTTGATCCCGTAGACAGCTATTACCATACTCTCAACACTTTCTTTAGAGGCGACAATGACTTGTTCTTGCTTTAGCTTCATGCGATCAATGTCTTTCTGCATGGCAGTCTGCTGAGTGATAAGTTGTAGAACCAGTGCGCTCAATTCATCGATCTTTTCTTCCATGGCGGAGGATGAGGAGGTAGGGACAGTGTGAGAAGAGGAGGGGATGTTAGAGGCAGGGAGTGAGGTGGACCCTAGGTTTAGATTATTGAGCCTAGAGTTGATTGAAGCAATCCCATCAAAGAGGGGACCCTGAACCAAGGAATCAAGATGGTCGATTTTAAGAGATAGAGAGGAGAGATTAGAAGAAGATGGTGGAGAAGAGAGATTAGGAGAGGAGAAGTGACGAGTGGAAGAACTGGGAAGGGAGGAACCAGGGGTAGAGAAACCAGGAGAAGAGAGACTAGGTTTCTTGGTTTTGGTCTAGATTCGGTTGATCAGAGAGTATCCCATATTATGCAGAGTTTCAGCTCCATATCGAGAAGGATCTCGAGGGATTTTTTCTTCCCCCTTGAGGTCAATGTTGAAATGCTTGAAGAGTTTTGTGAAAATCATTCCAAAGGGAAGGGCCTGATTATTTTGTTTGTGAGCCTGAATAATACAGTGAGTTACCAAAAAACCAAAATCAATGAGGTAACCAGTGGCTAGGGCCCGAATGAGAAATGTATGTCCGTAAGTGATGGCATCGAAACGGCCAGAACGGGGAATGATGTTGTGTGTGATAATGTGATGGAGTAGTCTTAGTTCGAGGGAAAGGTCTTTCTCAGAGACGGTGACTTGATCATGTAACTCAGGGTTATTTGTGAGGAACCGAAGACCAATAAGATAAGAGTAATTAGGCAAGTGAAGAGTAGCAACAGTTGGTGTGACCCTTTCTCCGTCATTGGAAGTTTTTAAAATTGAATTTATGATAGTGGGATCTAAAGTAAAGGACACACCCTTGACAAAACAATTGAGGGTATGAGGAGCAGATTGGGTATCATAAGAGAGGTTAGCAAAAAATTCCTTGATCAGTGTGGGGTAAATGACACAGTCAAGTTTTAACAAGGAGGACCAGTTTTGGTTGTCAAACCAAGTTTTTATAGGGATGGAATGTTTCTCAAAGAATGCAAGATCAATGATTCTGCCAGAAATTACCTTTCGTCGATTGAAGTCCTTGTTGAAGGAGGATCGAGCTTCATTGTTCTTAAAGCGTTGGACAGAGGAAGAGGTAGCAGCAGTGGCTGAGGAGGTGGAGGAACGATGACGCTTTCTGGTTTGAATTGGAAAAGGATCTTGAGATTCCATGATGAGAAGAAGGGAGGCAGTCGTTAGAAGGAGGGAAGAGGATCGAAATGTGGATCGCCAGAATAGGAAAAGGGGGTTAGGGCTAGGGATTTAATGGTGTCATAAGAGAGATAGGAAGGGTCGAGGAGTATTTAAATATATTTAAGAGGGTGTCGAACCTCGTAAAGAGAGGTGTTGACCCTTCGAATATGAAAGGATCGTGCGGCAAGCCCTTAGGCAACGAACAAGTGTCGACCCTTAGGAACGGGGGGTCGACACTAAAATGCAGTGTCCTCAAAACCATCAGGTGTCGACACCTTAGAAGAGAGGTGTTGACCCTAAAAAGGTAGTGAACCAAAAACCGAGTGGTGTCGACACCAGAGAAGACGGGTGTCGACCCTTGGTAATGAAAAACGCAGTGCTGATTCACAGGGTGTCGACCTTATAGAGTAGGGGGTCAACCCTTAGGGGTCCCGACGAGCAAAAAACCAGTGCAAATCACAACAAATTTTACAAAGAAGTATAATAATACATAGTAACCATCATATAGGAATATTTAACATGCCAAGCTCAATTCGTATAAGGTAAAATTGTTCCTCATTGAGAGGCTTGGTAAAGATATCGGCTAGTTGCTGGCTTATAGGCACAAATTCGAGTTCAATGTCACCTTTAAGTACATGATCTCGTAAAAAGTGGTGCCTTATTTCAATGTGTTTAGTGGGTGAATGCTATATGGGATTTTTTGAAAGATTAATAGCACTAGTGTTATCACATTTAATGGGAATGTGATCAAAGTGAAATCCAAAATCAAGAAGTTGTTTCATCCAAAGTATTTGAGCACAACAACTAGTAGCGGCAATATATTCTGCTTTAGCTGTAGATAAAGCCACAGAATTTTGTTTCTTACAAAACCATGAAGTGAGTGAATTTCCAAGAAATTGACAAGTACCACTAGTGCTTTTCGGTTAAGTCTACATCCCGCAAAATCGGCATCTAAGTAACCATAAAGATCAAAAACATTTGTTTTAGGGTACCAAAGACCCAAAAGTGGAGTGCCAACGAGATATCTAAAAATGCGTTTTACTGTGGTGATGTGTGATTCTTTTGGAGCTGATTGAAAACGAGCGCACATACACACACTAAACATGATATCAGGTCTACTAGCTGTTAGATAGAGTAAAGAACCAATCATACCTCGATATTTCTTTTCGTCTACTGGTTTACCTTGCTCATCTTTGTCGATTTTAATCGATGGAGTTGCTGTGGGTTTGGAAAAATCCATTTCAAATCTTTTGAGAAGATCTTTGATATATTTTGCTTGAGATAGATAAATACCATCTTGGGTTTGTTTTATTTGTAATCCGAGAAAGTAAGTCAACTCTCCCATCATACTCATTTCAAATTCCCCCTGCATATCCTTAGCAAATTCCTTGCATAAAAATTCATTAATAGCTCCGAATATGATATCATCGACATAAATTTGAACAATGAGCATATCATCATTTTTTATTTTTATGAAAAGAGTGGTATCAATTTTTCAACGAAAAAAACCTTTTTCAATAAGAAAATTGCTCAAGTGTTCATACCAGGCTCTAGGAGCTTGTTTTAAACCACACAAGGCTTTTGAAAGTTTATACACGTAGTCTGGGTGTTTGTGGTTTTCAAAACCAGGAGGTTGTTCAACATACACGTCCTCCGAAATATAACCATTTACAAAGGCACTTTTCACATCTATTTGGTAAAGTTTAAAATTTCTAAAACAAGCAAATGCAAGCAACATACGTATAGCTTCAAGGCATGCAATAGGTGCAAATGTTTCGTTAAAATCATTACCATCTTCTTGGTTATAACCTTGGGCTACAAGTCTAGCTTTGTTTCGAATAACAACACCGGATTCATCCATTTTGTTTCGAAAGATCCATTTAGTTCCAATAACAGAATATTCTTTAGGGCGAGGAGACAAATTCCAAACTTCATTTCTTTCAAACTGATTTAACTCTTCTTGCATAGCAAAAATCCAGTTTTCATTAAGTTCAGCCTCAGAAAAAGTTTTTGGTTCAATTTGAGAAACAAAAGCTAAATTACCACGGATATTATTAATAGAATGAGTTCTTACTCTTTGTGTGGCGTCTCCTATAATGAGATCTTTGGGATGTCCATGAGCATACTTCCATTCTTTGTGTAGATTATGTTCCTTTATGGGATGGGCATATTCTTTTTGAAGATCTTCCGTAGAGATTTCAACATTGGGTTTCCAGGAATGAAGTTCATTATTTTCTGATAAATAAATGCCTTCAATTCTTGGATTAGAATCTGCAGTATCATCAACAACAATATTCTTGAAAGCAAATGAGTTAGATTTATCAAAAGCAACATGTATGGATTCTTCAACGAGTAAGGTTCTTTTATTAAAAACGTGATATGCTTTACTAGAATTTGCATAGCCAAGAAATACAGCATCATCAGATTTTGCGTCAAATTTCCCAAGATTCTCTTTATTGTTATTGAGTACGAAGCATTTACAACCAAATGCATGAAAGTGGCCAATGTTGGGTTTTCTACCTTTCCATAGTTCATATGGTGTTTTCTTCAAGATGGATCTAATCGTGGCATGATTAATAACATAGCAAGCAGTATTGACGGCTTCCGCACAAAAATATCTTTGCAGATTATTTTCACAAAGCATAGTACGAGCCATTTCCTCAAGAACTCTATTTTTTTTCTTTCTACCACACCATTTTGTTGAGGAGTTTGAGGAGCAGAAAAATTATGATCAATGCCATGCTCATTACAAAATAGTATAAACTCATCATTATCAAGTTTTTTACCATGATCACTTCTAATGGTACAAATAGTAAGACTTAACCATATTTTGAATACGTTTACAAAGAGCTGAAAAAGCAGAATAAGTATCACTTTTGTGTGCCAAGAAAATCACCCAAGTAAATCTAGTATAATTATCCACACAAACAAGACAATAAGATTTTCCTCCAAGACTTAAGGTTCTAGATGGTCCAAATAAGTCAATATGCAATATTTGAAGTGGTCTAGATGTGGAAATGATATTTTTGGATTTGAAAGAGACTCGTGTTTGTTTTCCTTGTTGACAAGCATCACTAAGTCTATCATTTTCAAAAACAATTTTTGGCAAGCCAACGACCAAGTCCAGTTTTGAAAGTTTTGAAAGCAAATCCATATGAGCTTGTCCTAATCTCCTGTGCCATAACCATCCAGATTCATTTAAAGCAGATAAACACTTGACATTATGATTTGGAGATAAGCTATGCAAATCAAATGTATACACGTTCTCATCCCTATGTCTAACAAAAAGCACTGAGTTATCAGTTGAATTTTTAATAGTGCAGTAGGACTTATCAAAAGAAACATGATTGCCTTTATCACACATTTGACTAATACTAAGCAAGTTATGCTTCAATCCTTTAACAAGCAATACGTTCTCAATAATGGGTGAGGAAGTTTTACCGATACTGCCTTCACCTATGATCTTTCCCTTACTATTGTCTCCAAAGGTTACATGACCTCCTTCTTTGGATTTAAGAGTTGAGAACATTGCTCTTGTTAGAATTTTTTATTTTAATGATTTATTTAATTATGTTTAAATTTATTTGGAAGAGAAAAATATAATAAAAAATTTCGATTATATTTTTCTCTTTCAAATAAGTCATCAAAATAAATTTTGATTCTATTTTTGTCTTTCAAATAAATTAAAACATAATTAAATAAATCATCAAAATAAATAAGTCTTAACAATCTCTCCCTTTTTTATGATGACACACAAAGATGTTTTGATTTGATTTGGGAGTAAGAAAGGCTCCCCCTCAAGTCATACTCCCTGAATTCATTTCTAAATACATAGGTTAGCACACGTGTAATAAATAAGCTTTAATCAACAACATGGTATAAGACTAAGATATCAAACGATAAATACATAATCATCAGATTAGTTCTCAAAAAATACCATAATTTGAAAATAATACCATAATACATAATATCATATAATTTCTCCCCCTGTGACATTATCAAAAGGAAATCATGGGTCAGAATCTGGAGGAGGAGAAGGAAAATGATAGTGATAAATGGCATCAAAAATATATATATATATATATCAAAAAAATATATATATCAATCAATGGTCAATCAACAAATATATATATATATATATATATTACATATACAACTTTCCCGCGTCGCTCTCGTTTTTTGCAAAACGCGGTTGCCACGCGGCCTGGCGTTTGCTTCATTGGTCGACAAAAGTAGCTCTCCTCGATTGCCGCTCACCTCGGCTATCTCGCCCTCCTTGTCTTCTTCTCTTCAGCCTTCTTCTAAATCACACACTCTTCTATTTTCTTTTGCACCAGTCTCTTCTATCTCTTCTTCACCACTGTCGTCTGTTTTGTCTTCCTTATCGAGAGACAAAAAAACTGAATGGAGGAGACCAAACCTCAGTCTGTTCTCTTCTATTTCTCTGCAACTCATTTCGTTTACAGCTCTCATCTCTAAACCATGGCTTCCTCATCTTGTCCCCTCACTCTATTTCCGGACCTGAACGATCCCATAAGCTCTGCTGGATCGAGTGCCCCTACTCCTACTCTTCCTGTCATTCCTCTTTCTAACCTTCTTATGATGTCAATTGAGCAAATCATGGCAACTCAATTTGACATAGAAGCCAATCATTTCACACTGACGTCCTGTATGGAGATGGCGACGACAGTCACAAAATTGGTTCACCAATTGCAGAACAAGACGAGTGAGCTCCATCAGGTCAATGCCCAACTCTCTCTGCTCCAGCGCATGTTCAAGGATGCATGAGCAGAAATAGGCGCACTGAAGGCCGAAAATAACGAGCTTAAATAGAAGACCACTTCCATGGCCCGATTTGGAGCAACGTCGTTCTTGGCCTTTGATAGTCAGCGGGGAGTCGTCGCTCTCGACGAAAGCACGGGGGTAGGGGTGTCAAGGGTCGCCCAAGGTGATAAAAAGAAGAAGAAAACGATGGAAGA